GCTAAAGAATGGTCCTCCGGTAATGGTATACTCACCATCAAATTCCCGTAGATCAAGTTACGTTTCTTCACAATATAATCTTGAACATCCAAAAGTAAACGAAAATTTTGATACCATGAAATCAAATGTAAGAAAAATATTATTCAAGCGTGAAGACGAGATTGACTCACCCAAAGTCTCGAGTGTGGTCGTGTCTCGTGAAGCCAGTGCTACTTCGGAATATATTCGGGATTCTGTAAATATAAATGATGATTCACACATCCAAAGTTCAACTGCAAGTGCGAACGAGGAACTCTTGACAACAGAATATTCGTCCGAGGTCCTTCTCGCGAGCTCCGAAGCTTCATCAAACGTTGAAGAAGAGGCAACCGAGATTCCCGAGCCTGCAAAGAAAGTCATTGTGCATCGACACACTGAATCATTGAAAGATGCCCTCCATTACCTGAAGTCACTCTATGATAACGTAAATGATTGGACCCTGTATACAGAAACTAAGGGTGTTAAAGTGTTTACAATGGATGGTGGCAAACCCATGCCGATTATGCGTGGTGACATCACATATACCGGATATGACGCTGAAGACGTTCTATCGGTCGTAGCCAATATGGACTTTAGAAAACTTTGTAAGTTACTTTAAGACAAAATGAATCGAATGAAACCATTTGCTTCTCCCTTTGTAGGATATTTAATAATTATTATGTAATCATAAAGGGGATGATCGTTTTGACGAAGGTTCCACCTACGAGCGATGGGATCTAGGTGAAACATTAACTAGATCAGCCATGAAGGGAACCTTTCCCGTCAGGTAAATTTCCTTTGATATTTAGATGTTCGTTCGTTATTATTCAGAGATCTTAAATATCATTTCTTCTTCGTATTGCTTACCTGTGAAATCTCAGTGGTCGTGATATGGCGCTGATAAACACGGTCGATCGAGATCCAGAGACTGGAACCATCTATTTTGTCAGCACTTCAGTTATTGATCAAGCCATTCCTTTGTCTAAGAAACATGTGCGAGCTGATTTAAAAATCGCTGGGTGGATACTGAAACCCAAGAAGAATGAGTCGGGAATTGTTGAAGCAGTGGATGCCACGTACATTGTTGAAATTGATATTAAACTTGACTCAATTCCGACATCGATTCTTAAATCAATCTCAATGCAAACGCCAATGTGCGTCGTCAAAGTTAACGATGTCATACAAAAATACGGGTTTCCTCCTTATGTGAAAAGATTGACTGGAATGTTAAGTCACGATGGATTTAGCGACAAAACTTTTCAATGTGATTTTACTCTACAAATGGACGGAGGAGGTATTGCCGAAATTCAAACGTCTAAGACAATGTATCCAAATGGGTTTGACATCTCAATCAAACCTGAAAATGTGAAGGTTGAATTGGCTTATGATAATCGAGAATTGATCCGACTCACAATGCCCGCAGGAACTGATTCACGTGAAGTCAAAGTAACGATCACGAAGAATTCGTCTAAAGTTACCAAAATGACTTGTAATAAAACTCAAAATATTCCAGTAGCTTCACCCGAAAATGAAGGTGCAACAATCATGTCATCAACACCGGAAGTTAAATTCTCTTCATCGCAAGCAAAGAAGACGATTAAAAATAGTGTGGTCAACCACGGGCATCCGGCAAAGGACAAGTCTTCAAGTCCTACCCTTGTTAACAAGGAACCTATTCAAGTACCAGTTATGGAAACTGTCAATATAAAAAAGAGCGATATAAAAATCACACCTGATGATCATGATGTCAGCCTGGCGGATAAGCGTTTTATTCAACAACCAGAATCCGTGATTCCTACTAAAATTACTGAAGGTAAGTGTTGTTCTTCATTTTCGCTACGTACTTGATCAATAAATTGAAAAAATATATATATAATTTATCTTTCGCCTCTTATAGTTAAGCATCAATCATTTACAGATAAACTAACGCTCGATGAGGTTTGCAATTTTTATCATTCGTACGGTTTTTTTAATGTATAGGCTCAATAATTAATTTCGTAAATTTTATGCATTAAAGTCCACGGACGAAATACCTACATCAAAAATTTTAACGGTCGGTCGTAACATATCCATTTCTGACTTTGCTGAGAACATTAAATTAGATCCTCAGAAATTTGGATTAATGATTGCCTCGATGATATTGGCATACTACGCCGGTAGAATGAGCAATCATTGTGCACTATAGCAAAGGTCAGGTTTTAATTTACAAAATTTTGTGATAATTAATAGCCTGATTGGTTTTTCGGCGTTCCTGTAATGGAGGCGAATGTACTTTATTTAAATCCTTAATCATATTCATACTTCTTTCATAGAATAATATCTTATTTATAGATCCCCAACCATTTCTAGTTTATTGATGTCATTTTATTTTCATGTGCAAGCAAAAGACATTCTTGGTTGTATTTCAGGATAAATGCGCACAGTATATATAATGATATTAAAAAAGAATAAACTAAATCTCAAAGTCGACATGAAATTTCGATATGACAGTAACTCCAAAAGTAACGCCCGATTTTATTTTTTGGTGCAATTATGACTCTCACCCATACAAGCTGACAAAGGAAAGTGTCTGGGAAAAAAGAAAAGTAATTAATACTGTATAAATAATCGACTTGAGAGTACAGTCAAACCTGGATATAACGAACCTGTTTATAATGAAGCTATAATAAAATGCTGGCTATAACGAATTTTTGAATTTTGAATTTATTCAAAATTCGTTATAAAAAGGGAATTTTATTATATAAATTTTTAAAAATTCTTTATAATGAATTTTTAAACAATTTTTTTTCAATTTTTACTAATTAAACCAAAGGCTTCGTTATATCCAGGTTTGACTGTATTTCACAAATTATAGTCAATATAAAATAAATAATAATGTACAATTTTTAAATTATATTTTATTTACACTAACTAAAAATTACAGTACTTCAACGTTTTGAAATTATTTTATCTATAGCATATAACTTTTGAACAACCAATCTAAAAAAACTACAAGTACAGTATATCCATTAAAAGATTATTTATTAAAAATCAAATAATTAAAGTTATTTAAGTTTTTTGATCCAATTTTTGTTAGATTTAATTTAAAAAATTTAATAGTTTGATTTTCTTTGCTTTAATTAAAAAGTTCTTTGTAACATACTATCAAAAGGTCTATATTTTTCAGCAAAATTTTTTATTTATGCTGTTCAATTCATTTTAAAGTTCATTTATATCACTAGATATATTTAAGTAATTCAAAAAAAAATTTTTTTATTTATGCTCTATAGAGTTCAAATCTAATAATTACAAAACAAATATAAAAACTTTAAGTTTATTATTTTGATTAAATATTTTGAATTATTATTTGTATTTAAAAATAATATTTATATAATTTTATCTTATATCATCTTATTATATTTAATAAATATTTATTTAAATATTATTTTATAATTTAATATCTATAATAATTGTTATATAAATTAAATATATTGTTATTGTTTTTATATTTCAAATTGATAATAATTTTTTTATTATTTTTTAGAATCAATATTATTATATAGTATAAGACAAAATAATTGAAAAAAAATTAATAATTAATTAGATTAGAAATAGATATATGTATAAATAGAAATATAAAGAATAGAAATATGTAAAAAAGTTTTTTTAAATATATTAAAATTATATAATTAAATTATAATTAAAAAAGATAGCAATTTAAAATTTAAAATTTTTTTGTCAATAATAATATCGATTTTATTTCCATATTCAATAATTTTCTTAGAGAGATTGGTATAATTATTCCTAATTATCCATCATGGATTATAAATAATTGTATCTAGTAGTGAAGAATCAGGAATTAATTATTAGTTATTTGATTTTTCGGATAAAGATATATATCATTAAATATACATAACATGATTGTAGAAACTCTAATAGAAGGAAAAATTTCAGTCAAAGCATTAATAAATACAATATCTAAATCTAATACTATTAGCAAACACTTGTTTGATAAGCTTGAATCAGATCATGGATTAGAAGGTATAGTTGGTAATAATCTGATAGGTGAAAAAATAAAAGGCTTAAATTTATATTTCGCATTAAAAGAAAGTAACAAAGCTTAAGTAATACTGAACTAATAGATTTTTAAATTCGCAAAAATCTGTCATTCAATCTGGTGTTGGGGCAAGATTGATTATGAATGCATGAAGCAAAAATAAGCTTTGAATATTCTTTCAAAACCTGTGTCCACCATACTAAAATTGTAATAGATGGTATAAGCATTCCATTATTCGATGAAGATTTTAACAAAGCCAGCTTCACTAAAAATAATTTATCTAAATCAATGGAATTTAAACCTGGTCTAGCTTAAGAGAAGATTATAAATATAATTAATAAAATTCTCTCAAATATTGGAGATAGATCCAAAGGATCATTGCTTTGCAATAATAAACAATGAATATTTTGTAACATATCTTCTATACATTCACTATCCAGAAGATTAAATAATGATATTTTCAAAAATAATGAAGTTAGCAAGATTAAGAAATATTCTAAAGTAGATTTAGGTTATGAAGATGGAAATCTTTCAATCAAAATACATCTCAATAATATTTGAAAATCAGTTTATTCTACAGAGGGTGATCACAGGTATCGGAACGATTGGATAGTGATTAATTAAGTAATGATTTTTTATATATAAAAAAAAA